CTATGCCACCATGTATCCGTCTTCAAATTTGCTGCGTCCTCCGCACAGTCGACACTTCCACTCCATTTACCTACCTCCTTTGCATATGTTGTATCCGCCACCTTTGTGACATCCACTTCATTCTTTGTTCTCAAATTGAAAAATTCCACCAAAATGAAAATCCATGCCTTACCTTTTTAGTTTTTTTTTTTTTTTTTTTTTTTTTCATCTCATATTTCTTCCTTTGCCGCTTCAAAAATCCATTGAGGTGGATAATACTCTTTAATTTTCTATTATTATTGAACCTATAACAGATGTATATTTCAACTTTGAAAGGTACAAATTTAAACACCAAACAACCATATACGTGGAGGAAGCAATACACTCATGATGAGTTATACTTATTTATATATATTTGACGGATCTTTATTCAATTTTAAGGCTATCATGTTAAATATAATAAAATTTAAAAATTAATTTTGATATATATATATATATATATATATATATATATATATTAATAAGAAATAAATGCAGGTATCAAGGTTTCCTTTGGCTCACAAGGAGCTCTACCACCGATTATAGGAATTATTCCGATCTTCTTATAATATTACAGTTTCTCCTCCATGATACTATATATAATCATAAGAATTATACTGTATTGTTAGAGACCGAGAGGGTGATTCCTTAAAAATATGATAATGCAAGTGAATGAAAAGAACCCTAAGAAAGTTTTGTTAGGACAATTAATCAAATAGATGTCTATAAATTTTACATGAACAGAATGATGCATAACAGCACAGATTAAACGCTCTAACTTGAATATTTGAGAATTTCCTTAGACTTACCCTAAATAAAGTATCATCATCTTCGGGCAAAAGTAGCAATACAGATAAAGTTTCTGACTTTTATGCGCCACTCGTAATTATTTTATTTTTGTTGCATACCAATACTTACATACAGTGAAGAATCCAACTTTTAAGTTTTAATAACATCAAAAAACACCCTCATATCTGAAAATTTCAATCCGGTGTTATTGGAGCTATTAGTTCCTGTGTTGTAATAATGGTTGCGTAGATATCACTGCTAGAGTATTTTTTATTTTTTTTTCCAGTCAAAGCATGTCAAGTGGGTCAAACTCCACCAAAATTTCAGCATTAGATGGATGGAGGTATGAGATATAAATACACAATCATGGTGTCAATCAAACAAGTGCAGTAGCACTTAGGTTCGCTTTCAGTCTAATACCACTGACACTAACACCTCAAGATGGTGATGAGACATGTACGATCTTCTTCCCCCATATTATTTTTCCCTAGAGCATGCCCTATGTTATTTTTTCTTCCTGGTATTAGCATGTTCTATTAATAGTACTACTAGTAATGGTCTTGTCTACATGACAAGGTTTGATGATTGATAAAGATGGCCTAACTGCTATTATAAATTACGCTGGCATTGCTTCTTTTGTCAACAAATGTAGCTGCCAGAGTCCAAACTTGGTGGTGATCCAAGTAATCAAAACATCAAACATTGTACTTTGTATTAATTACTTATTGTTATTGCTGACTACAGTTGATTGGATTTGAAAACAATTCCTGAGTGAATTATTCTACACTCTACTCCTTCAGTCTTTCTCAGTCAGATCAGATCCCCCAAGCCATTATATGTTGACACTTCATTGACTCATGACATCAAAAGCATTTGTTAGTTCACATGCAGCCACTTAAAGCTTCACTAGTCAAATTACTGTTACTTTAGAGCTATGCTTCAATACCACCCTTTTAAGGTGTGAAATGATGGGAGGGAAGTAGGGAACCAAAGGTTGTGTTTCATACAGAAAATTTGACAAATCCAGTGATCTTTTACCATCCCAGAACATTGAGCCAGTTGTTATTTTGTAAATGGGTGGTTCACACCAAAGAAATTAAAAGTTTTTAGACTTTCAGTCCCCCATTAGGCCCTTATTTATTTCAAATGTTGAAACTGAAACTGTTTGCTGTTGAAAAGGTAGAAAAGGATCCAGGAGAAAAAAAGGACCCTTTTGCTGTTTCCTTGTCCGATGATAGTGCAGTACTTGGACAAGTGATTACTCAATGTAACAATCAACTGGTCAAGTAAAATATTGGCATGTATGTATGTATGTAAGTATAAATTATTCTATTAAATTTTTCTCCCAACCTTTGATGTCGGCCAATAATAAGAAAAGGATAAAGGAATAAGATAGTATGAGAACAAAACATGCCTAACTCAGACCCACCACTCAATTACCGTAACACCATCATCTTAGTCAGCAAAACTTGCGTGCTCATTCCATTTGAGGCATTATAATGCTCTTTTAGCATACTTCCACTCTTGCTAATTCAACTTGAACGTGTATTATATAACAGGTAAAAAGAAAAGAGAAAATATTAGTATAATTGGGATTTTTTTGGATGTCTCGATCATCTAAAAAAGTGACTAATTACTTCAGAATGTGGCAATGAAATGGAAATGTACCGAAACTTGCATTATGAATCTGACTGTAACTTATGAATGCTCCAGCAATTATCCAATTTGATGGATGTGTGTTTGTGTCTCTCTTGTATAAAGATTGATGTTTTCTTAGTAAAGGTTAGCAAGAACAGAGGGATGCTATGTGCTTTCCAGTCCCTGTCCTTGTTACAATCTATTTGCATTCTTTCTCATACAAACCCCACCATCGAACCACTCTGTCTACGTTACTTTCTACTCTAGGAAAATGATATTATAGTCACAACCTTTATGTCACAACTCTGCACCAGTGCCTTTTGATTTGAAAATATGCTATTAGACCAATTTATGAAATTAAGGAAAATGTCAAAAGTATATTTTCATACACACTTGTGTGAAATCACTTGAATCTCACTTTTTATTGAATCTCATCCATGACTTCAAGAATCTTAGCAAATTTCAACAATATACTAAAAAAAATGTATTAGAGGGAATTCACTACACTTACAGAGGTGTGAAATAGAATTGCAATAATTTTTTTTCACTGGTATTAGTATTTCTGTTTGCATAGGTGGATAAGTTCGAAATAATAGAAAACACTAATGACATGCATTGTTGGGATATTTTAGATTTTTCCTTTTTTAAAGAACAGGAAATACATTGTGCAACACATGCAAAATATTAACATCTTGATAGTAAGAAGTAGTATTTTTAAATTCGAATAAAATTCGCATCTTCAAATAGACTCTACCGCAAAGATTTGAAATACAGTTAGTAAATTCTAAAAATAACATTTCCACTCATTTGCAAGCCAAATATTTAGGCATATTTTCAACATGCATGTTCAGTTTCTTTGTGGAATAAGCACCAACAGCCAATAGGCAAAGTCAATGGCCATGTGGAATGGGGATGAAAAACAAAGTTCATATACCCTTGGGAATGTTGCTTGCTGGGCCTTATGGATAAAATATGCCTTATAGAAGGTTGTTTCTCAACTCTTGGTCCACCAGAGCCCAGAAATGGGGCATAGATATGAAGGTACAAAAAATACAAGATGATAGTGCTTCCACATCTACTAACACAACACTCTTTTTTTCTTTGGAGGGGGATCACGGAATACACCTAAAATTGGTGCAAGTAACTTTCGAACCTAGTTCCAAGACTTAGGAATTAAAATTAGCATGATATGGCACCAAGATTTTGAAACTAAAACTTGATGTTTTTTGTTGTTGATGCCTGTAGTTTGTTGGTACCACCTTAAAGGGAGATAATGACATAAAAGAAAGACACTAACGCCTTGTACTGCAAATAGTAACTTCCTAGCATTTTATATCTCGATATGGTTATAATTGGCCTCAAATGGTACTATGAAAATTGAGATTAGCCATCAGAAACAGAATAATGCTGTCTACTTTAATGGAAGAATTATAATTGCTGACCTCCAAAATCAGAAGACAATATATAATAATAGAGCTGCAAAATGTAATTTATGGTTGGAAAAGTTATAAGCAAAGTAGTTGGTTCCTAGCAGAGTTTTATATGTTTGTTTCTTTCTTATGGAAGATTTAATAATTGATTAATTATATAAATAATGTGGGGGCTTCTTCGGCCCCACCAATGACCCAAGCAAATCAGTTAAACTCGTGGCCCCTTCCCCTTCAAAAAGAAAATAGTTGATTCACTTGATTGCTTTGTTTCATGTGGAATGTATGTGCAGTTCCCACTGTGCTACTCCTACTACTAATCCATTGATTACAAAGCAAGGCAAAAGCATATGGGTAGAAAGCAAACAAAAAAAACCATGTATTTAAATCTAATTTGAAATCCTATGATAATTGCTAATAATTATGAAGCATATATAGGTATACTCCAACAGGTCGGTCACCCCAATTCAACTCTCCCAAGACCAAAACCATACTCTTGTGCCACGTTGATAACGCTCATCCATGATATCAGCATGAAGTGTGATCATAACCCACAAGACAGAATATACAAATTAAAGAAACAAATATGAAATTTTTTATATCTATAAACAGTAACAGTATACAAATCTAATATAATGCTTATAAAGAGTATGTACCTAACATATCATCCTAAAATCAATTTTCACATGTTTCTGTTCAAAAGTTCTGATAAAACTGTGCAAATTCCAAAAGGAAAAGAAAAAATCAATAAGAAACTTTAAAAGAAACAGCTGCAACATTTTCTGTCTCACACACAAGCCTTTCTCCAAGGAGATCTCGTTTTGGCTAAGTGGTACATCACGTTCCGTTATCCGCCGCCTTGCTTGCTTGATGTTGAGAGCTGAAAGTACTCAAAACTTTTATCAAACACTTGATAAAATAGTGAGATGTATCAGTATTGTATTGTATTTGTATGTGATAAACACCAACTTCAGTTTCACGTCAGTCTCTTATATGTCCATTTAGTCTTTCTCTCCCACCCTTCTTTGCATTACATTTCTATAAATACCATACCTTGCCTTGTTACTCACCACCTTCATTTTCCATTATTGCTCTTTCGCTCCACCTTTCTTCCTTGCTCTAGAAAACATGGCCGATAATAATGTCAACCTCCCACCCGGCTTTCACTTTTATCCCACAGATGAAGAGCTTGTCGTCCATTTCCTTCAAAGAAAGGCAAATCTTCTACCCTGCCATCCAGATGTCATTCCTGATCTTGAACTCTACCCATATGATCCTTGGGAACTTCATGGTACACATATGCATACATATATTTTATTCTCTATTAATTTGTGTCTCAATAACAAGGTTCAAATTTCTGTTGAGAGACGTGAGTATATTTAGTAAACAACAATGTCTTAAACAGAATTGTTTTTGAAAGAGAATATTTGTGAGGGAAAAAGGTCTCAATACATGGAGAAAATTTCATGCCAATTTGACATGAAAAATAGGTAGAGATTAAATGAAAGTTGGTATTTATTAATCAATTGTGGGTGGGTGGTTATGCATTGCTGCAGGTAGAGCTTTGGCAGAGGGAAAGCAATGGTACTACTACAGCAGGAGGACACAAAATAGGGTCACTGGCAATGGTTATTGGATGCCAATGGGAATGGAAGAGCCAGTGATTACAAGCTCAAGCAACAAGAGAGTTGGCATGAAGAAATATTATGTGTTCCATGTGGGAGAAGCCCCTGATGGTAACATCACCAATTGGATAATGCAAGAGTATCGTCTATTAGATTCTGCTTCCTCTAGCAGATCATCCAGAAGAAGATCACAACCAAAACCGGTTAGTACGTAGTGCACATATAGATAGTACATGAAAAATTAACCCCAAAAATCAAATTTTATATATTATGCACTAATGCTATCTTCGATAGTTGATTGTTTATATTTTAATTTGTCTTTCTTTGGTTGTTTGATTCAGGACCATAGTAAATGGGTGATATGTCGAGTTTATGAGCGGGATAACGATGATGATGATGATGGTGATGGAACAGAGCTCTCTTGTTTGGATGAAGTTTTCTTGTCATTGGATGATCTTGAGGAAATAAGTTTGCCAAATTAGATGATGCAAGTGATAGAGTTAGCTGCATTATATATCGAAATGGGATATTAATTTAAGCTAATTGTTGTTATCATCATAATTATTATTGTTATTTACTGGTTGTAGTTAAAGCCTTTAGAAGTTTAGCTTCCATTGTAATCAGTGAAGTCGCTATAGCTAGATTTCTACATAGCAACCTTTCAAGTGGGGCACTAGATGAAACTCATAGCCAAACCAAACAATATGCAGTGTGACGTTATGCTATCAAATATCCCATTCACTAGCACAGGTCAATCCTGGAAATTCCATGCTCTTTAGTCCTTATTCCAACACGTGGATAATCACAAATCTAGTATCTATTCTCAGCCATTAATATAGGACTCTTTAATCCTGCAAATCAAGATAAGATATGCAAAAGGTCTATTTCTTGTTTCTTTAACTTCACATGTATTAGCAACTTACCATATAATTTACACTTCACTACTGTTGCATGAAAGTTGTGTGCACTGACAAAGATATTCTCATATAACAAAGTGAATTTAATGTCATGGGGTTACCAACATTTGGCACAATCGATAGTGTCCTTAACCAACTGGTATAGAATTTGAACTGTGGTAATGTTATTTTAGATATAGAATAAAGCACTTTAGGAATGAAATATCCACCTAATATGTGTTTGAAGGTTTGTGATCCTCACGTGCAAGATAGTGTTGAGAGAATGAATGAGATTTAGGTTGATAGAAGTTGTGGAGGTTTGTGGAGCCCATTGAGCACTGTAAGGGATGCTTGAAACTGAACATTGGGCAATAGTCCTATTAGGCTTTTATAGCTTTTGCCTACTTTGATGGTATTTGTTAGCTAGTTGTCTTGTGTCACAATGCTAAGGGACATTTTATTTTCTTTTCTTTTTTTGCATTCTGTTGTTTTTGTTGCATTTGGGTTCCTGCTTAGGGAAGCATCTAGTCATGTGTGATGCAAGCATTCGCATGCTTTGAAGCACCAACACGAGCACTATATTATATCCATATATTCTCATCACAAGAGAGTGACACACCAGTTCATGATGCTTACCTCATTCATGCGGTTCTTTCTCTCATACATATCCACCAGAAAAGACAAGATTATGACCAAGAGCTTTCTAAGTTTTATGACAAAACCCCAGTACAACAATCATGGATTGAAAATGAATAATCACAAAATGTATGTAAAAATAAAAATATTAAAACTCCATTATTGGGCATCTTTGTCATTAGCATCTCTCCCAAATTCAAGATCCGTAAATCAATGATATGATGAAGCTTGCGTTTTTGCTGGACATGATTCGACGCCGTAGTTAATGCTGGTAAAATATTTGGAAGTTCTAGCTTTTGATTCATCAACAATTTGTGATTTAAGAAAGTTAAACTTAATCTAACAGCAAAAAGAAAAATTAGTGTTTTTACCCGTATCTCTTGGTCAGATAAAGAAAAAACTATTATCTTCTGGAAATATTATCACTAAAACAAAAACTGTTAAAGGGAGTCATGGATCGACAATGAAAATTAATCACTTTGTATAGAATAAAAAGTAATCTGAGAAATAAAAAGGGTTAATTTTTAAAATACATAATAATAGTTATAATAATGTCTAGTAATTACATGTTGGGTTAAGTAGTGAAACAAATGGTATAATTTAACTACATCAGTATTGAAGTCAACTTATTGCAATGATTCTTTTGACAAAGGCGTGCTTGATAATTGATGTGTAGTGAATACTTATGGCTTCTGTTTTTCGAAAGGAGAATTTTGTGTGGAGCAAACAGCGTTTATGGAGTTAGTGAAATGTGAAAGTGAAACACCACAACTTCGTTAGTCGTGAGGAACTTGGGTAGGTTGAGAGCACAACAATTTTTACTGAAAATTCTAAACCTCGTGAAAGTGAAATGCAAAATTAGAATACAAAAACCGAAATGCTTTGGTCAAAGAACAAGAGCTATCACAGTGCCCCTCGACAAATATATTCATTCCAAGATTAATAATTTGATTTTGATGGATGTGAAAATGAGAGTTGAAGGTTATGATAAAATAGACATAAGCTTTTATAACATTGCCTTTATGTTCTGCTTTAGAGTAACTAACTAAAGTAATGTAATAACTGATATCTCAAAGCTATTACAGAGAATAAAGATGAAAACTATTTGACCCGTGTATTAAATCCACTACAAGAGCAAATCAATTACCTCTCATCATTTTTATTCACTCGAATAACTTTAGCAATCTTATTCATCAACACAATCACTGCATTCAGTTAGGAATGAAAGTAAGTCATTGCCAGAATCTGATCACATAGCCAAACTGAGATTGTTTCCTACATTTTCAAAATTAGGATAGAAACAGTCCTACACTTGCTACTAAAGCTGCAATTGTAGTAAACCTTTTCTTTCAAGTCACACTGTGAAGTGTTCGTTTAATTAATTATACTAATTAACTCTTTGTAAAAAAAGGTAGAATCCAATTAAAGTCATGTGGCTCTTAACGTGGTTTGAAATCTTAAGGTAGAATCAAACATCTGACTGAAACTTGGTAATGAAATGAAAAAGGAATATAAGAGGGGAGGTTTTGTCCTATCTAAGTATGCTCCCCTTCGATCTTTGCATCCACGAGTTTCCATTGTTTCTTATAATTATAATAATGATAAAAATACTATTTCATTGCTTAATCAGCTCGTAACCACTGAACCTTCTAATCATCTCACTCGTGCTTGCTTATTAACATAACACATGTGAGTTGAGTGAGGTGTGATTTTCGGTGGCAACTTCGAAGAGACCAAAAGTCATTAGTTAGAAGAACCACATAATTATACTTTGTGGCTCTCAATGTCACACAAACTCAATGCCCCCGTTTGGACCTGTAAAGTGAAAAATGCCAAATCGAATGGAAGTCATTATGATTGTCTGTCATGAAAACCCTCCCAATGGGCCTTCGTTTTCTTTCTCCTTGTTCATAAACTTTTGGTTGTTTGTAACAAAATTTATGTGTATTGAAAGCCACAAAGTGGAAGGCAGGTGTTTGAGAAGTACTCATCCAACCCAACCCTATTGCCCTTTGGCTTGCTTGTTTTCGAGGAATTATGTTTCCCCCCCTTACAATGGCAAAAAGTACAACGAGCCACCATGATTGTGAGGCCAATACCTAGATAGCTTTTGAGTGAAGTTAATTATTCCAACCCACCCATGCAGCCATCACAAGTCAACAGAAAAGTTCAAAATAAGTCAACCCCACACAAAGGGATTACTCAAAAGGAAAAAGGCGTGGTAAAAATGCTGAGTGAGTTTTGAGTGTGCTGAAGAGAGAGAACTTCTCGCCCAAGGGACAAAGGTGCTAACATATGAAGGAAACAAAGAGTGTGATTTTGCACCATCAGGGCTCAATAAAACCCTAACCCAATTAAGGGACCACATAAACGGTGAAAGGATATGAAGTTCATAAGCAACCAGTTAGTCTTTTCTATACCAGAATACTCGAACATGTTGTATAAGTACATGTATACAGAATTGCTTTGTGGGCAAAACATCGGATGTTTAGGTGGCTGGTATAAAATAGGCAAGATATGAAGGTCAGTACTCTGTATAATTTAAAGAATGACCAACAATTCATAAAGCCAATTACTTTTATATTCAAACTCAGAAAGAAAAGGATGCCATAATACATGAACCTCCAGAAAATATATAATCTTATTAAGATACCGGTCATTCGAAGGTACAGACTTTTGTATAAGAGAATCATAATCAAATTCCCATTGAGAATCCCCACATCAAGGATCTTTTATATGTATTGAAAAATGCAATCGTCTTCTTCCTATCAGGACTATAATCCGAGTACTGATTCCCACCAGTCTCCAATTCAACTGTGGTAGTATCATGTACTGTCTCCTTTCTATTTTAATTTACTAACTAGTACAGAGCACAAAACCAAATTGTGTGACTTCTCCAGGAGAAAAAATGGTAAACATTACATATTAACCAAAAACGGGTATCAATATGTGTCAATTAAGTCAAACAAGATGTAAGCTGATCAGCAACGAACAAATAACTTCCTACAATCATGAATGACGCCAATCCAGACCGAGCCATCCGCCAACCAATACCACGGAACAAGACATTCCTGTCTGAAGGATGGATCCCAGTAATTCTTTCGAACTTGTTTCCTGGTCGTTTCCATTTCAAAATCTTTCTTTCCATTGAGATGTACTAGAAACATACAAGGTGTGAATTGCTATCAGATTGATCACAATTTAGAAATACATGAAATTACAGTATTTATTTACTTAAGTGAGATATTAATATTATTCAAAGTTTGGTATCACAACGTAAAGAATTAGTCTGTAAGATTTAAGCAATAACACTGGTACGATCCACAAGTTGCAGGTCACTTGTTGAAACATGAAAGCAGTTGCCCAGACCAAGCTACAAGTGAGCCATGCTTAATGTAATTAATTGGAGATTGTGCAATCATTTGCTCCACTATCTGTAGTCTTAAATTTTGACTAAACATTTTGGTAGCAAGTATTGAAACACAAAACTTGATGACGACTATCAGGACAGAGTCCTTCAGTTGATTACTGGGACTATAAAGAAACATCTCTGCAAATAGGAAAACACTATCCTATTAGGTGAAACGGAATCCGGTTTCTTGGATGATAGAGAAAAAGGTTTTGACCTTGGAACTAATATGTCACAGATGTTTTTTTTAATTTCAGAATCATCCGCATATGGTTTTCTTCTCGGTTGAAATGAAGAAATTAAACTTTGATAGGTTACTCTGAGTTAGGTTTCCATAACTATTCTTTAGTTTTAAGTATAGATTATGTCAGCCTCCTTGTCCTTTGTACTCCTGCCCTTCAATTTATTTATTTTTTTGTCAGAAATAGAAAAGGTTATTCTTAGAGCAAAGAGTATGGCTGCAAAAAAACCAAAAAATCATTATGTAGAAAATATTCAAGTACGACCTTTTCCTTTTTCTGATACTAAGGCTTTTATATGTAAGATAAACCCAAAAAGTGCAGTAGTTCACAGTGTCAAACTTTTCAGTAACAACCAGTATTATTCATACCTTTGGCAGCACATTACATTGTGATCTACTTCTTGTAGTATCAAAACCATGCGAAGCAGCAGCAGCAACTGAAGCTGAGAATCCAGCTGTAAGACTAACAGTGAAAGGAGACAATGGACCAACTTCTTCATTTAACCTGAGTCAGGACAGACACACTTAGACAGAAACAGAATGATTAAACTCACTTGTAATTAATCTAATTAAAGTAGATGACAAAATAACAACTCAGGATCTGTTTGGACAAACTTATCCAAAAGGGCTACTAAGAGAGAAAAATTAAGAAGAAAAAATGATACGAACTTCTCCAGCCTTAGCCTTAGGCAAGCTAATTTGTAAAACCTCTCTCATATAACTTCTGCAAATTTTTATTTTTTAGCTTGAGCAAAAGTTAATTTTAACTTATGAAGAAGCTCATTTAATTTTTTTCATTGTATTTGTCTCTTATATAAGTTCTTAAGGAGATGTTTGTCCGAACATACCCTAATGCATCAAGTGCCAGCAGCTACCAAACCTTATTGTAGACAAAATAATAAAAAAGATCACAAGAAAATCCAATAAAACAAACAACTGAGCATGCATAATTGCATAATTAGTTCTTTTGGTGCAGATTACTCATTTCATTGGAAGTGCAAGTACAGATGATAACATATCCGCTTTAAAAAACTCCAAACAAAAAATGAAAAACAAGAAACCTGTAAACCTAATCCACAATAACCTTATCCATAGTTTACTGCCATAAAACAAGCAATTGCTATTGCACATAAAGGTTTTTACACACAATCTATATACGAGGACATAAAAAAGTAGTAAATACAAACAAAAATGTTAAACATCGGTAACTATATTTAGAATTTTTTTCACAAGGCTACTTTTGCTAAAAATACAAAACTAACCCAATAAAAGGAAGAATGATTCAAAACAAATGTCCGTATAATTAATGAATCAGAGATGAACCTAGGTGGGGGATTCATCCCTACAGCTTTCCAATCTAGCATTGCTTGGTGCAGAAATTGCCAGGTAGAAAAAAATACACCTCCAAACACAGAATCTCGAGCAATTCCAGAACGGAGACCTCTCCATAAAGTGCTCCATCCTTCCAAAGATATAATGTCAGATGGTCTCCTGACAGAGGAAACTGATGGTGGCATCCCAGATCCTGTCATTGTCCATGGATACTCTAGTAAAGCACTAGTCATGTTAGTATTTTTGGTCGTTAGGGAGGAGATGAGACCAGTATACATGTCCAAGGACCTTTTGTCTGGATAACAGCCATTAAGTAATCTTGCAATTAAAGGTTTACGAGCCCCCTTTTCCAGGGCAAAGTTGGACCTTGGAGCATATGAAGCAGAGGTAACCTGCATACGAAGCTTGATGAGTTCGAATGGAGAGCTTATAACTGTCTCAATGGCACCAGACACCATGCCAGCCAAAAGTGCCTCAGAAGCAAACAAATAATTATCTTCCCGACCATCTGCCAAGTGCCAAAATATACTTGTGAGCACCAAATCAGGCTCCACCAGAGAAGAAATTCACTATAAATTGTAATTTACAGAGAACAAAGTAAAAAGGGTATTGTGAAAATTAAAAATAAGAAGTTAATGAAGTTTAGGTCAAGCAATCTCAAAATCAGACTATGCTACAAAATCTACAAGCATATCAAACCTTCAATATTGTTGACATAAAAGAAACATGTCATGAGCATAAGCAATTAAACAAAGCAGTCCCACTTTTTGTCATTGATATTTATGAGAAAATTGAAAAAAAAAAGAAAAAAAATACTAATCAGACAAAAGTATTCAAAGAAAAACAAAGTAGTTACCTTTATAAAAGGCAGTCAGGATTTCGTAAACCCCAAATCGTGCTCCCAGACCAAAAATCCTTCCAGCCGCCAACCAACCAAAACCATTGTACAAACCTACAATGTCCAAATACAACAAAACACCCAAGTTACCGTACTGTGTGTATAAAAAGTTTGTGCATCAAGAAACCAACAAGGAACTGCAGTAGCTCACAAAACCTGTAACATGTAACCCAATCTGAAAATGGCAAAAACAAATGTAAACTTTCCCATTCATCCGGAACTACATAGTAACCCATTTCCATGATCACCCAGCATTCTCATGTCTATTATGCATACACACATTGGAGCTCTAATTCTCCTAGAGCAACTTATATTCAGTATCTACCAGAAAAAGAAAAAAAAAATTAGCATTACCTGCATTACCCGACAGAAATACTACTCTCGTCAAAGCCTGAGCAGCGTCCAATCCTTTACCAGCACTGGAACCAACCTTTGAATAAATAAACGAGGTTGAAGCAATTCATACACGGGCAGTGCTTAAAAAGAAAGAGGGTCGTAGAAAAGGTGAGAACCTGAATGAGAACTTTCATGGTGTCTAGAGGATAAGTGAAGGCAGTGGCTAAAGCCACTGACCCAGCACCAGCAATACCATGGACAGCAATAGTCTGGTTCTGAGATAACTCCTTCATCACAACATCTAAACTATGGAGGAAATATAGAAGCTTGGAGATTGTTGAAGAGGAGGAGAACCTGAGCGAAGAGTTTTGGAACACGATCTTAAACCCTACGCACACTACACACTCTCCTTCTCTTTTCAACTTTAAAATAATTTATAATTTATAGTATAAAAATGAGTTTTTTTTTTAAGTAGGAAATTATAATAAATAATTAAAGAATATACATTCTATGAATCTTTATCTATATTCAAAAATACTTTAAATACTTTAAAATTAAAAAATATATAATTTTAATTAAATAATAGAGAAATTCCAGAAATTCTTCTAAGAAAGAAATAGATAAAATATTTTTTCATAAATTAAAATTAATTTATGTACAAGTTAAATAAAAAGTTAGAAAACTCATACAAAAAGGTTTATAAATTAATTTTTAACTTTTGAAAAATTATATATTTTTCTATCTTAATAGAAAACACATAGGAAAAAAATTTCATTCCACACACCATTTTTATTTTATTTCTAATTAGATTAACCATTTTTTTTCTACCAAGTTCTTGTGTTGTTCGAAAAAGAGACCTCTCGATGTGTTGGTAGAACTAATGTAGTTATTAGTTAGATACAATGTGAATGCTGTTTTTTTTTTTTAATATCTACATAAAAGTAATAAAAAATAAAATCAATTATAAAGTTTGATGTTTAAATTAATTTATGTGTAAATTAATTTGTTTTCAGATAAAATAAATTAAACTATTTAATTATAAATTAATTTTAATTTATAAAAATTTATGTCATTCAATTAATAACTTAATTATATGTATGATACAAGAGAATATTATGAGAAAAATACTTATCGCCTTTCAAATCAATAATATAAATTTATTGAAAAAAAAAACATTTGTGATTTTTATGAGATATGTTTTGGTAGGAAATATATTTCTGTGAATATATTTTGATAGGAAAAACTTACAAATAATTTTCTTGTGTATAATTATCCACACATAATTTTTATTATTATATACATTTTTCCTATCAATTATATAATTCTTTTAACAAAATTCTTAGAAATTATGAATTATTTCATGAAATTTTTGTAGGATATAAATTTCTATATAATGCTATGAGAAATGAAAGGAAAATAATTAAGTAATTTTTGCGACTGTAAATTATTTTTGTAATGAGATAAAATAAAATATATTTTTAATTTATTATATTTAAAGCACAACAAAACATTAAATTTATTCTATATTTTTTGTAAATTTTAGATTTTTAAGTATCAATATTTTAACAATTAAATATTTATAAATTATTTAGTCAAATTTTAAAAAGAAAAATTGAAAACAGAAATTATATATATATATATATATATATATATATAATTTAAAATTTTCTATTTGAGCTTTTTTTACAAAATAAATAGCAGAAAAATACTTAAACATTACATTTGTAGGAAAGATTAAATTTGCAACTATAAGAGTTTATTGTGATTTTTATTTTTTTTTTAAGTTTCTTACGAATTTTGTTTTGGATGAAAAAGTTACTGTATTTTTTTCTTTTAGAGAAGTTATTTATTTTATCTTTAACCATCTTTATATATATATATATATATATATATATATATATATATATATATATATATATATATATATATTATATCAGTCCTGTACAATTTTTCCCAACAAATTTGTTTGAAAAAAAAAATTCTACAATTTTATTTTTAAATTTTCTTATATAAGTAATTGTACATCAACAAATTAACTCTAACTCAAAATTCACAATAAATTTCACAAGAAGCTAATTTCTAACGAATTCTGATAGAAAATTCACAAACGATAATGATTAATATATATATATAAATTTATCATGAAATTTGTAGAAATATTTATATACTTATATAAAAATTAAAGAGTAAGGTGATATTTTTTTGGAAAATCTCAATTATTTATTACGCGAAGAGTAACATGAAAATATATTTTTTAATTTAAAAAAAATCTAACCTCTATCCTATAAACGAATTTGTGAAAACAAATTTCAAAAACATAATTTCTTTTTAATAATATTTTTTTAGAACATTTATATATTTTTCTTATGTTATAATTTTATTTTTTACTTACACCATGAGAGAAGAATTTACCTTTTAGATAATTTAGAAAGAATTAAGAGAGTGAGAATCGTAAATTGAGGTAGCGGAAAGCAATATAATAGAAGAAAATTACGTATTTATCCTTAAAAGTTAATATGAAATCATATATTTATTAATAAAAGATTATAATACATTTTTACTGTTGTCATTCAAATAAAATTTATTATTTTATTTTGATTAAATCTAGTATTTACTATTAATTGTAGTTAATGCGTCAAATAAAAATGTATTTTTAATTTAAAATATTTTTAAATATTTTTTATTAATTTTAATTATTTTTATATTTATACAAAAATAAAATATTAATTCATATTTATGCTTATAAATTTAATATTACTGGTAAATTATTATAAATTATAATTATACCTACATAATATCATAGTTTATTTTTTATTATATACAAATTATTTTTAGTTATTAATGATAATTTTATTCAGGATTATATATCAATTTTATTAATGATAATTTTAGATGAACTAAATTGATATTAAAAATATTTTAATAATTTGTTATATTGTTTAATTTTTATAATAAATCAATTTTTTTTCTTTTAGTCTAAATAATCTTATTTATTTTTCATTTTTCAGTCTCTTCATCTAATTATGTAATCAATAACCAACCCGGTAAAAGTGTAAACATTCATATGTATTTTCCCAATCGCATTACATTTATGAATTTTTATTTTGAAAATATTAATTCATTTTACTTTTTAAAAAATATTTAATATATTATGACATTAAATATTTACTATTATTTTAAATTCTTCTCAAAACTTAAACTTTTGGTAATCACGACCTAAAATTAAATCTTTTTGAAAATGTATAATTGCTTGGTTGATTCTATTCTACCATTTGAAATAGAGATATTTATTGGGCCACTAAAACTCGACCCAGACAACTATTACCTTGTGGGCTTAGTTCCCTGCTTCTGGAAAGCCTAAGAGAAGAGTAAGAGAAAAGAAAGAACATTTAACCAACCCTAATTCCCGAAAGCCATTAAACCCTAGACACCCCAGCTTGAGCCCTTGCTCCACCCATCCCCACAACAATGGTAAGCCCCTCTTCTTCGCCATCTTCTTCTTCCTCAAATTCTCATTGATTACGTTCAACAGTAACTAATTTTTTTGTTATCGGTTTTTTGGTAGGTGAACGTTCCGAAGACGAAGAAGACTTACTGCAAGAGCAAGGAGTGCAGGAAGCACACCCTCCACAAGGTCACCCAATACAAGAAGGGTAAGGATAGCATCGCCGCTCAGGGAAAACGCCGTTATGACCGCAAACAGTCCGGTTACGGTGGACAGACCAAGCCCGTTTTCCACAAAAAGGTACCTCCCTACAATGCAGTAGCGTTCACTCCAAACCCTGCATATAATTTTTTTGTTCATTGAATGGATATTTGTAATAACTAATTAGGCCAAAACCACCAAGAAAATCGTGCTGAGGCTCCAGTGCCAGGGATGCAAGCATGTCTCTCAACATCCAATCAAGGTAGGTCAAAGTCTCTTTCTGTCGTTTTGTTTTTTATATTGCCATTTTGAGCTCGTGGCTAATCAGTTGCATTTTGTTTCCAATCTACAGAGGTGCAAGCACTTCGAAATTGGCGGTGACAAGAAGGGAAAAGGAACCTCTCTCTTTTAGTTTAAATTTTCTGTTTCACACATTCATTTTTCTTTTCTTATTTATTTGCCATCTTTGGCATTTTAATTTTGGAGTAATATTTTGTGTTTGAGGATATTAGAATTTGCGACTTAGTTTTGTTTGAGAACTGTTATAGTTGAATTTGAATTATTGCAATGCCGTCGAGTTTGTTTTCATCTATCTATATGCTCCGCATGCTCAGCGCACCACTGAATCGGTCTTTAGTTTACTTTGCTTGAACAGAGAAAAATGTAGGTGTTGGTTTTCAAAATTAATTTGTTCCTTGTTGGTTGCTGTAAGCTGTTATAGATTTACAGTGGCTCTTGAATTTAGAAAATGAGTGACTTGTAGAATTTTGTTCTGCATTTTTTAATATCATAAATTTTGTATTTGCACTATTTTGATTTTCATAATAATTTGGATAAATCACAGTGAAGTATTGGGAAGATAAAAGACATTTGGAAAAGAATATGGTAATGAACGCATCAGAAATAAATCCAACCTCATTAGGGTGGTTTTACATCATAATTTTGTGAGTGATAAGACGCGAGGAGTTTAGTAAGTATTTCTACTGGGTTCAGTGCAACTGCAAACTACGGGTAAAGTTTTCCTAATTAATGATAATACTGTCCATAGTTTTGTGGATGCTGACCCATGTAATACGTATTGTTAGGTTGTAGTTTTGTAAACGCAACATTTCCTTGCATTCTACTTGCATATTGTTGCCACATTATCTGTTCTTCCAGTAATAGCCTCTGTTTTTTCTCTATCTCTGACATTTGAACGTAAGCTGGAGGAGCCACTGCCAGTGAAGCTGCAAATGGATCTACACTTGCTGAAATTGAACATACCGCGGATGTTTGTGGTGCAGGCAATGCTAGCATTGCAGGCCTTCCTGTTGACCCTCGAACCATACTGCTAGCACTGCCACTCATCCCATAAATTTGTCCTTGCATAGCTGCATTTGTTGCTGCTTGTGTATACATACCATCCAACATCAATTTGTCAAAGCCGCCTCCTAATGATGGCTTTTGGGTTGACAAGTTACTGGATGATTGGACTAATGCTGTCTCCCAATCTGCTGCATCATCAAATGCATGCCAGGGAAGTGCTGGCGTGGCGCAGGATGCTGGTGCTGCACCATCAAATAATGCCAAGGCTAGGTTGTCTCCATATTCTTGACTTGTCTCCATGTCATCTCCTAAATCCAATAGATTACCCTCGGTTTGCACCAATTTTTCTTCCTTGGGTTCTTCTTCCTTGGTCTCTTCCGTCACTTCAACCTTGGTCTCTTCCTTCACTTCTTCTACTGGTTCTTGGCAGATAGGTTCTGGCGCTGGTAGTGCCTTGATTGCATTTATGTCCTCCTCCGGCGTTGGCTCTGGTTCCGATACTTCATTCTTTTCTTCTTGGACGTTAAGTTTCTTGTTTTGTGGTTTGTCTCTAATGTACTGATCCATAATCTCTAGCTTCTTTGTTGTAACCTTCTCAATCTCGGGATACTCGGTAGAGCGTGCAATTCCAACACTCTTGGACCAGCTGTAGAATAAGTCTAGCTCATCATATTGTTTCCCAACGCGGCAAAAGATGTCATACACCTTAATGCACTCTGGTATCTCCATGCTAGTGAAACGATCAATGAAGATACTCAATATTTCTGTAATGCTGTTGTATATTTGGAAACTCTCCTTCACAGTAGAGTAGAGCGCCACTGTCACAATTCGATGCGTCCTTGCTCTCCCTGTTTGTTCAAAACAACCATGAGATATTTTTTTATGTTTTTATTTACTATATAAGATTAATTCTATGTCTGCATTAAGAGTGCATTATTAACGTTGATCAATGATATTATGCTACAAGTGGGTGATTATTTAATTCGTCAATTCATACTGTTAAAAAAAGGTAAATTGATTTAAACTCTTCCAGATATTCATTATAGTCAGTGAGCAGAAAAAATTACAAGCTGTGATCAAGATGCAAGATATTTCTATTGCGAGATTCTTTAAAAGTATTGTTTTGTGATCAAAGCATTGTTTTAAGATGCACGTAAATTCATAATTGCAATGAAAATATGGAGGCATTAAAACAAACAAACCTGTTGGGCGACAAGCTAGAAAGCGCTCAAGCACTAATTGCAAGTGCTGCATTTTGGAAAATAGATCGTTAGTCTTCATTTCACAAATTGGTGTGACTTTGACGATTTCTCTATCCTTTTCTCTTTCTCTACTGCATCTACCTTTCTCTCTTTCTTTCTCAATAGTTTCCTCTTCTTCCTCTTCATGAGCAAACCTGCTGCGCTTTCCACGTTTACTTTGCATCGTATACTCGAGTCTTTCATCTAGATATAATGCAAAAGTGCGCACAAATGCACAGAATTCCCATGAATTATACTTTGAGTTGTCCCTAAAATCAGACAAGTTGAGGAGGCGAGTCCCACGACGAGTAGAGAAGAATATTTCTTGTTCATACGCAGGATCACCGTCTGCTAGCAATCTTTGAATCAACATAAGTGTTTTCAAAGCCACTGTCCAACTACTGGTCTTGCTGAGACGCCTAGAGAGGGTACTTACACATGCAGTGATGAATGCCCGAGAGTAACTTGTTAAGCTCAGAATCTCCCTGATGTGCTTCTCTTCAGCCGGGTACTCATCATGCCTTGTTGCTTTCACAACTGCCACATGAAGATCTGCAAGTGATGCGCTGTTTCCCACCTTCGCCAGGCCTATGCTCGTTTGATCCTTCACTGCCCCAATGGCTCTTCTTAATGTGCTTTGAGACATGCTTTTCTATTTTTCCAATTTGGTCCGGATAAGACTATTATATGTTCTAATTTCGGACCCCTGGATTTCGGTAAAATTGTCCCCCCCTGCAAATTTACAAAAATCACTTTTCTCATAGGACATCACATAAGTTTTAAGAATTGACTTCATGTTATGTCAGATATAATGGACAACATTAGATTTATATATACATGGAGATACATTGAATTTAATCTAATGCTTGGCTTGCTTTTTTAATAGATTTTTCAACAGAGAAAAGGGATATAAGGATGATGCAAAAACACACAAATACCAAAGAATGCTACCTGAAGAACACAGGAGGGGCAACTATTATGATAGAAGTTTTTATAATCTCATAAACCCAAAAATGCTTATGGATATCTTTGATACAGAAAACAATAAGAAAGTGATGAGAATAAGATTCGTTTGATGTTTACGAGGAAGAGGTATAGAAGGATAGATAGATTGATTCTATCAGTCTCTCTTCCCTCTTCTTCCCATCCCTCTGTTCTTCTCTGTGTCAAGGTATTATGATCAGGCTCAATTGGCCAAGCATAGCCCATTTTTGTAGCATCAAAACGTGGTACCCAAATGAGTTGCCATGACATGTATGCTTAGCTTGCATTTTTCTCATCACCCTTTGACCTTTTCAATGCTACAACCACAAATTTCAACTTTCTAATTCGGGAGAATGCTACAAATTTTCCATTTTTTTTTTATTTCTTCCTACCACGAAGTTTTACATAATATTTAATAAGTCAATTAAAATCTGATCTTTACGTCTTTCGTAGAATTTTCATGCAGGTAAGTTGAAGCCACTTGATGACATACAAAAAGTGTTTTTTTTTTTTTTTTTTTTCTTTATGGAACACCAACTCTCCTAAACTTATCATCAATGATATTTTTGGCACAAGTCTACTTTTAGTTTAACTGTGGACCATTTGAGATTTTTTTTTTTTTTTTTTTTCAGTTAAATCTCTCAAATTCTTAAATGAAGTAAATTTGAACCTTTTTTGATTTGCTTCTTTCAGATACTTTCAATATTTTCGTTCTTGGTTTAGTCATTGAAGGGTTGATGATAACACAAAATATTTAAAAATTAAAGAAGCAGGGAAAACTAGAGGGACAAAATCATACACTTGTAAAGTTGAAGAAGTTAAAGGTGTAATTAGCTAAATGTTTTTATATCTCTAAGTCTTTTAACAAAACCCTTAGTAATTATATGGATAAAGAATTTAAAATACATTATATGTTTATCAATTTTAATAAATTATATTATATATATTTAAATATTTTCCATTTTAAATTAAGTTATGTAAACTAGTTTCTTATTAAAAAAATGAAATGAAAAAAAAAACACGTCACGAAACTAATTTTTAGTTTTTTTTTCTAAAACGTAAAATTATTTAATGATGGTAAAGTTTATACTCATTATATTTTTTTTGGTATTCATTAAAATTTTGTAATTTTTTTTTATTCTCTTCCATATTTTAATACAATTTTTTGAATAGAAGATTTTATCCATGCCTCTTAACCTTCAATATTTGGTGGTCATAAGAGGCTACCTCTGCTCTACAATAATACCTTCTCAAGTACTTTAATTATAATTTTGATTTCTATATTTAATAAATTTTTAATTTTTTTTTATTTTTGTATCCATAACTTTGTTCTTCAATTTTTAGTTTTTTTTTATAATTTTATTATTTAAATTCTTTTTACACAAATTTAATTCTATAGTTTTAAATTTTTATAGTTTTATTAATTTCCAATTTTAAAAATATATTAAACAGTTATCAAATAGCATTGTTATTACAATGTATTTCTCTGCGTCTCCTTATATCATATTCAATTTAACCAAAAAAATATTGATAATTAATTGAATTAAAAATTGAACAATATTACAAATAATTAAAAATTAAGGATTAAAATTGTGCAAAAAAAATATAAAGACTAAAATCGTGATTTTTTTTTAAATGTAGAGCAAAATTATAATTAAAATTCTAAATTTTATAAATTGGATTTTGCTATATTTTACTATATTTTATTCAATTATTTAATTTAAAAAGTATTACGATATATTGAATTTTGCCTCCTTCGGCAATAATAGGTGATGGTGCAACTCTCTTAATAAGTATTTTTCATACAAACTATCAAATATTCAGTTTTTCCATTCTTATTTTGTTTTCATGTTGTTTACCATTTTTCAGCTTATCGCTGTAATATGAATTTTCTATTTAAAAATATATTTTTTTATACAGATTTATTATAATATAAAATAATACTATATTAATGGTTAATTGTATACAAACGTATCATACTTTACAAGCATTTATGGACTCAGTTGTCATAATTTGTATTCTTAAATTCTATAAGGATGTTATTTAATCAGCTTATTTTTATTAAATTAGTAATCTTATTATTATATTTTAATTATAATTATAATTATCAAAAAGTTAATTTTTATATTAGATCTGTATTAGTAATTTTTCTCCTTCGGATCTCTAATCTTACTATTTCCAACCGTAAAAATTTTTAAATATTAAATTAAAATATTTTTAGATAATTTAAAATTTAGTTAAATTATTATAAAAATATTAAATAATAAAAAAGATATAATTAAAAACAAAATTAATTAATTAATAAAAAAAAACAACTAACTAAAGAAAAAAAATATAAGAAGCTTATCTCATAAAATAAGATATAAACATCCATTTAATGAGAAAAAAAATTAAGTAAAATTTATGAGTTAGAGGAGATATAGAAGGTGAAAAGGGAGGGAGGAGAGAGAGAAAAAAAGGGAAAGAAAAAATATAGAAAAAAAAAAGTGGGAGAGAAAGGAAAAATAAATAAGAGAGAAAGAGAGGAAGAAGGAAGAAAATATATAAATATTTGGTGAAAATTTAACGTGTCATATATAATTATTAAGGTAAGAGTGTGATTTTTAACTATTAAGGTAAGAGAAGAAAATATTTATTATTTCATTTATTTTATTTTTAATTATAATAAAAAATAAGGTATTAATATCATTTTATTTATTTTTTTATATTTATTATTTATTTTCGATTCTTTTTTATATTAATTTATTTATTGTTACGTATTTATTTTTTTATATTTATTTATTTATTTTTAATTATACCCTAGTCAAATTCAATTGAACGTGGGTTTAATTTTATAAATTCAAATTAATTGAAATTTAAGTTTTAGAATCTATATCAGACCATTTTATTTGTGGGGTTAATTGGATTATATGAATGATAAGTTAATTTGGATGAAATATTTAAATTAATTTTAAATTGATTCAATTTTTTTTTTGAAAAATGTATAAATTTTAATATTTTATTTAGTTTAATTTTATTTATTTAAATGAATTAACTAGATTAAATTCTTGTATAATTTCAATCATTATTTTTATAATATACTATGATTTTATAATTATTACTAAATTAAAAAATTCATACCAAAAATAAAACTGAAAAATAATACACAAACTAAATTTATATAAAATTATAAAATTTAGCAATTTAATATAATTCTCAATATTTCTACATAAAAAAAAATAATAATAGAAAATCAAGTAGTATAAATGATGAAACATGGATAAATACACAAAATAAAATAGTTATCTAGTTAAATTAAATGCTTACATAAGATATTTTAATATATACAAAAATGAAAGAATCTTTATTTAAATTATTTGAATTAACATGGAGTCACACGTATTCAGAAAAAAAATACATTATTTATATAGTTAAAAATTGTTGATAAAGGTTATAAAAGAAAATATTCAATATAAACAAATTTATATGTCTTTTGGCGGTAAAAATGGATAACGAAGACTACTTTCAATAAATTGGTTGATTAAAAAGAAAATTACAAATACAATCTAAAATACAAAGTAATCAATAAAGAGGTAGTAGAAAAAAAATTATATATCCAATAAATACATAAATTTGCACAATTTTAGAATCCTAATAATAAGAAAACTATTAATAATTTATTTTAAGATATATTAACGTGTGAATAATCCAGTTAAAATAATAATAAGAAAACTTTCAACCTTAAGGACATGTCTTCAACTATAGGAATTAGTGATCTCAATGTCAATAATTCCTCTAAATTTTAGAACTTAATTATAAAACCAATAACAAATTAATATGAATATTCTTAAGTTATTAATTCACTAAGTTTATAAGTAGTATTACCTAATGAACCAGCAACAAGTCATGGAATAATGACAAGATAAAAGTAAAGAGATACATTCCAAAAAATAATGAGCTAAGATCCCAACATTTGTCTCTAATAAATTATTTCAAAAAACAAAAAAATAAAATTACATATTCAAAAAAATCAATTATAATCTATCAAAATGATAATGTATTAATTAAATATAATAATAATAATTAAAGTAAAACAATATACTTAGATAATTTAGTATTGAGATGATGGACCAACTCCGTTACAGGATCCAACTCTTGGTGATACTTCTTCAACTCCCATTGAAAAACCTTGCAATTCTAAAAATTATTAAATGCAAATATTATTATATATAGTAAAATAATTATAAAAAAGCTTAAATTCTTCCTACTTGTAACTATCTTCTAAAAAAATTCAAACTCTTCATGTATATTAAGGCCGTAAAACTAAGTTATTGTAATTTTTAACCAATTTTGAGCACAAAGTGTCTTAGTCATTGAAGGATTTAATGAGTTTCTAAAAGTATCCAAAATCCTATCCCAACTACTAAATACACTCTCTTAGAAACCATTGTAGATACACAGGTGGCTAGCACATCTCTCACCATTGTTGATAGAATGGAAAATCATGAAAAATTTATTTTTCATCAAAGTAAATTATAAGTTTTCCATCATCATCTACAACAAACTCATTTAAATATCTTTTAAGTTCTTTTTTTTTTTTATCTATGGAATCTTTTTAAAGGCATCAACCCTTGCCAAATATTTAGGAACTTCAATAAAGAATGATGATTTAGATGGATATCT